TGATCATGACAGAAATGATGTGGATTCACCATGTTAGTCAGATTCTTCTCATTCTCAGGTTTTGACCATAATGTCTCAGATCGGCTTGGCGCAAGCGTACTGAACGGAATCACAGGAGTTTGGATGCCAGTCATTGTTGTTCCGGAGAGTTACGATGGCCCCGAGATGTATTTGAATGCTAGGTGATACCCGAAGTATTTTTAGCTTTTTTTATCTAAACAATTTCTGTAGATGTGGAGATGAGGTAGCTGACCGTGCGTTGATGGAACAGTTCAATATAAAGCTGGATAGTCGAAGAATGATGCCGATGAGTACCAGAGACGTTGAAGAAATTGCGAATGTCAGTTTTTTAGAATTTTTACCGTCACTGAAATTACCGTAATTTAGTTTGGAAGATATGGTGGATACGTAACTTCTAGAACGCTCCAGGATTGGGTTGTGAGCAGGTAGGCTGACTATAACATACCTATCTACCTAGCTACTGATGTATTTCGTTTTAGACAAAGAGCCTGGGGAACTCCGATCCCAATGATTCTGAGCGCAGATGGGAAGACGGCTGTGCCATTGACGGATGAACAGCTTCCCTTGCTTCAAGGGCAAGCGCCCGGCACAAAAGTTGCTTGCGACAGGTAATTTCGCTTTGGAAGCTTCTAGAGAATTAATTTAAAATGATGCAGATTACCAGAGGGTGAGGGCTTCTATGAGACCGACACTTTGGACACATTCTTTGATTCAGCGTGGTCAGTTTCACATATTTCCGGAAATTCATTAAAATATCAGGTCGTTCCGAAAGTTCTTTCGGTATTTTCGGCTTATAAACGCGTGGGATAAAGTTGAGCAAGCAATTCAAAACCTATTCGATGCAGTTTTTCTTGATCTTTCCACCAATTGTACGTGGGGACCATTTGCTCTAGTTACTACTAAGTTAGTTGCAGAAATGTTGAACCCATGGTTTCTACCATGTCCAATTTTCGCAATTTTTCATAATTCGTATTTTGATTTCTGGAAGAGCTAATTAACAGCTCGATAGAGCAAACAAAGTGCTACAATGTCAATTTTTTTGGG